AGAGAAAGCGACAGAGACAGAGACAGAGACAGAGACAGAGACAGAGACAGAGACAGACAGACAGAGACAGAGACAGAGACAGACAGACAAGGACAGAGAGACAAGACAGAGACAGAACAGAGACAGACAGAGACAGACAGAGACAGAGACAGAGACAAAGAGATGTTCTGATAATCATGAAACACAGTTATGTGTTCCACAGGATGATGCAGCAGAACCAACTACCCCAGGTTTAAACAGATAAATAAATAAATGCAGAGCACAATGAAAATACAAATGGGAATACAGCAGAACAGTCAAATGAGTTCTGTTTCCACAAAGCAATGAAACTGGTATTATATAGAATAATATTTCTTCAAAATCCTTGACCTATAAATAAATTCTTCATGACAAAAGATTGTTTTATCATACTAAATATGTACAAGATCAATAGGAATACCAAATACTTTATCATACTAATATATCTCATTGATGAATTCCAAATGACAAAAAGTGACCTTACTTTATGTAAAATGTATAAGCTTAGTGGCTATACTTGATATTTTGCAATATATCAATTATATTAAAAATAACTTAAAAACACAACTAACAACATCCACAATTCTGGAGGATGACTTAACTGTGATATTAGCTTTATCAAAACTTCAAGGTAGGGTTCGTCCAGACCAAAGATATCAGAAAAGCTTATAGATAAGACCTCCAAAACATGGTTCCTATGATAGTAACAACTATCAACCTCATTTATAGGGTATATTATGTAACTTGGCCAATTCTGAAACCATGTGGTTCTTATGTAATAATTTTTATCACTGTTAATAATACAAAAGAAAGATTATCATAACTTACTTATCCACATATAGTCATAAATAGCTCTTCTCAAATCTTCTACATCAGTATCACTTGTGGTATTGTCTGGCTTCGAGTGATTTCCTGGCAGGTGCACCAACCAAGGGCCAAAAAAAAATCCCCCAGCATTGCCTAATTGATTGAATGTACAACCTATACCTTGAAAAAAAGAAAGGAAAATAATAACAATATTGCCATTTAAACTCATAAAAAACATGTACCCACACAAGTTCTCAACTCTCCCTTCTACAATATTGTGATTTTGCAAGAGAGTGAATTATCTGGGTGAAGAGATATTTACATCATGAAGAAATTTAGCTGAGGGCTGGGATGAGAGGAATTGACTTTGCCACGAGATAAATATCGCCAATAGGCTGGCAGATGACTGGGATGTCCTGTCATGAGTGCACAAAATTCTTGGAGGAAGATTAGAATCAGCAGACATCTAGGAATGGGCTCATGCATTATTTCCACTGGTAAACATGAATGAAAAGTACCATCCTTTGAGCCATGGCTGGAGAGTGCCAACTCTAGGGAGGACAATATTTCCCTACTCAGGAACCTATATGTGCCCACTGCAACAGGCAGTGCAGGGTGTATTACAGAAAGTTAAATGATATAAAAATATAATAAAAAATACACAAATAACATTAGTCTGCTCATCAAAAAATGATATATTACCATCTTCACACAGTAAAACAAATGACAAATATAGAACCCAGAATATAGCAAAACATGAAGAAATACTTATACATAACAGCATCAAAAGGAAAACGCAAAAAGTCTCAATAACATACATGTTCCTGTGAGCTGGGCTTACAAGCCACACCCCCTAAAGCCTGGATTTTGGTCCATGTGTAGGCCTCAAGGCACCCTGATCCAGTAGTTTAAGTAAATAATTATTTACTTTATTTATTAATTATAATAATTCAAATTTGATATAAATCACCTCTTAGATTTACCTGTGGCAGTTGTACGTTCATTTGGAGGGAACCACCTGGATGAAACTAAAGAAGGAGCAGCTCCAATTACAATGCCTCCCAATCCATTGAATATTGCACCCAAATGTGCTAAACTGGAAAAAAAATGATATGAAAACTGACTTCTACCATGATTTAATATACAAGAGAAAATTAGATCCCCCTAATTCTGTGTAAGCTTAAAATTAAATTACATAAAATCCAGTCTTCTTTACTAAATCACTTTCTTATCATTACAACACCATTGTGTGACACCCTTATAACTCTCATAATTTTGAAAACACTAATCACATGATATAAAAAAAATTGGATCAACTTACATGGTAAAAGCTTTCTCATCTGTGGTTAAGCATCTGATTCCTGTTCCCAAAGCCATAAATACTGCAGTTAATAGTAAAGCTACACGAATGCCTGTGGAAGATCAAAATGGAAAAACATTAATTCTTATATTTTTCTGTGCTTGAATTTTTTTGTTTACCTTTATTCATACATGTGATCCTAAC